TTATAATTATAGCTAAAGTCATTCAAAAATTACATTAAAACAGAACTTGAAAAATTGCTTCAATAGATTGATCAGTAAGTAGAATCAATCCAAAATGACATAGAATCAAAAGGAAAAAAACTAGAAATCAAAAAATATGATGAAGAAATTCAAATTCTATCAAAAAAATATATTGGAAACTTTAGTTATAATATTCCAACAGAAAAAACCTATAGAGATAAAGATTTAGCCTTTGTACAATTAATCTAAGATTCACTTTAATCTTAATAAATATTATAATATTTTAATTAGATTATTGAATCTATAAATATGATTAAATCAAATAAACCAATCAAATAATAAATGTATGACAACCAAATTCCTGCAAAAGAATTTGAATAACATGTAATAAATATTATATAATTAGAAAACCCCTTGTCTCAATTAAATATGCAATAAACATAACAAGGAAATAATTATGCTTTATGTTGCTTAAAACGAGCCAGGATTTAGCAGGCTAGCTTGTATAATGTCAGCTTAAATAAAGCAAAGAAAAGATGGGTTTAATTGATGGGATAATCATAAGATTTAATTTCTAAACATAATTTTAGAAGAGAGAGGAAATTCAATATGGCAAAAAAAGAAATCAAGTAACTAAAAAACTACTATAATGATTAATTATCATAAATTTTGATTTCGATTGATGAACAACTAATTAAGAATAATTAAAACATTCAAGATTTCATTAAATTAGAGAATAAATAAATATTTGAGTTGAATGAAAAATAAGTTGAAAAAAAGATTGATTTATTAAGTTAAAAAGATAAAAATATACATTTACTTGAGTAACAAGAGAAGTAAAATAGGCTTGATTATTTGTTTTATCAAAACATAAAATCTAAATTAAAGTATCTTATTAAACATGATTTGTTTTGCAAATAAAAACTAATGAAGATTTTGAAAGAATAATAAGGTATTTTTTTTGATATCATTAAATTAGAAAATCATATAAATTAAGTTTTAATTCCCTTTCCACCTTGCCATATTTATAAATGAAATCATCTAGATTCTCGAATAATATCCTTCAAACATATCTCAATCAACTTCTCTCTAAATAGATTTGTCTACTTCTCCGAAATAAAGTAAATCTAAAATTCTTTTTTTTAATTTGTTTGTATTAATAATGTATTTTTCGTCCTAATCTACTTCAATCTTTTATTTTACTCCTCCTTATTAAATTAAAGTATTTTCATCTCAATAGGTAAATTCTGTTCAGAATCCTTTTTTTAATCCCCAAAGAATTGATATAATTTGTATAATGTTTGTGTTAGATATAATTTATCCCATAAGCAAAATTTTGAAATTCATTATTCTTTTGCCAAGATATATTCAATCATACATAAGTGTTATCATACCCTTAACATCATATTCGCTTTTTTCAAAAAATTATCCAAAATACACCAAAATTCTTAGGATGCAAATGTTACTAAAATTTCTCAATCAAGAATAAAACTATCAGAAAATTAAAATTTTTAAGTCAAATAGGTTTACAGATTATTACAAAAGATAAATACAATTTTGAATTGAACTCTAAAAAAACACTTTAAAATAAGCCTTTTTCATCAATTTCAAACTAAAAAAGTCTTAGCTAAACCTATATGCATGTAAAAAAATATCAATTAATACTTTATTAACGATTATTGGTTTTAAAATACTATTTTATTAGGATTTCTAAAATTTATAATTCAATTAGGTATGCAACAAACTTCCTAATCGAAAATTTAAGACTTATTTTTTATACTTATCCAACAATATGTTAAAGGTCTCTAAAAAAATCAACTTTATATGCCTCGCTAATCAAATATGAAATTCGAATCTCAAAAAGCATATATTAGACGTTTTGCAAGGAGAATTGAACTTAGGTAGGACAGCACTATGAGATAGAATAAAGTGTAGCTAAGCAAAATGACGAAATATTTAGTTGATCTGTTTTTTTTAATTATAGAAGAAGATCTCAATTATTGGATTAATCTTTCCTTATCATAGGTGTCATGGTAATTGCCATTAATTTGCAAAGTATAATTCATTTTTTTTTGGAAATTTAGTTAATAAATGATTTCAAAAATAAGCCTTTGAGTGAGAAAGAAGCAATTCAATCAACCGAAGAATTATTATTTGAAATTACTAAAGAAAATCAAAAAAATTGCAAAAGCTGAGGTCAAATATAGAGACTTGTGCTTATTTAAACAGAAAACTGATTCAATTAGGGTATGCAAAGAATTATATTGAATCCTTAACTAGCATACCCTAAAGTTCTTTATTGTAAAGAGAAAAAAAAATATTGAATCTTTATGAGTTAATAATTAACTTGAGAATCAAATTTAAAGCTTTATTAAATAATATATGTATGCTGTCAACGAGCGAGCGTGTTAATAAATTAGAAAATATTAAATAAATTGTTATCATTTAATTATTCTGTAATATGATAAGCTTTTAATATTAATAAATAATTAAAGTTAAATTAGTATCATAAGAAATCAAATTAATATCATAATAATAGTAAAATTAAAAGGTTTTACATTTTTATATTACATAACATTACAAGACTCTATGTATGCAAAGAATTATATTGAATCCTTAACTAGCATACCCTAAAGTTCTTTATTCTAAAGAGAAAAAAAAAATATAGAATCGTTATGAGTTAATAATTAACTTGAGAATCAAATTTAAAGTTTTATTAAATAATATATGTATGCTGTCAATGAGCGAGCGTGTTAATAAATTAGAAAATATTAAATAAATTGTTATCATTTAATTATTCTGTAATATGATAAGCTTTTAATATTAATAAATAATTAAAGTTAAATTAGTATCATAAGAAATCAAATTAATATCATAATAATAGTAAAATTAAAAGGTTTTACATTTTTATATTACATAACATTACAAGACTCTAGGCTTTATTTGAATTAAATGTTGATTTAGATTTTTCTTTTAGTTTATATAAGCAATTGCTTTATTTAATTTTCTAGTGAGGAGACCATGCTTGGGGGAATCTAATAAATTAATGAAAAACTAAAAGAAGGGTTATGTAAACTTGATAAATATTAAGACTCATCTTATTTTTGGATATTTGTTTAGCAAAAATGAGATTAATTTTTTGGGAGTCATTTTTGGTCTGGTGACGTTTTAATGCTAAAAGAGTTTTATTATGAACATCAGAAATTAAAAAATTCTTAAAATTATCATGCTGTTATTTCATTCAATTCATAGCTATTAAATCGCCCTTAATTTTATAAATTTATATTGATAAATAATTCTCAGACTCATTTGATTTCTTTTTTTAATTTAATATTTTCTGGAAACAGTTGCCACAATTTTATTTTAATTCACTATTTAAAATTTAAAATATTATCAATCAGGCATAAATGTTAAATAGAACTAGGAATAAATATTTTAAATTAATTAACTTTAAAAATGATAAAAGAATTTTTTTTTATTCACCTCACATAGAAAAATTAAAATTAACCAAAAAAAATAGACGTTAGATAAGTTTGTTTGAACCAAAATGGAAGAATTTGTTCAATATTTTTTAGGCTAGCTGGATGGAAAGGAAAATATTTATAGGAGCAAAATATGTATTTTATGAATATCAAAAGCTAAACATAAAATTTCAGCATTCTCTTCTATTGTATTTTTTTTTGTTAAATTATAGTTGGAAGAATATTGGAATACTGATAATTTAGAATAAGAGTATCAAGAATTGTTTCCTCAAATAAACCCCTATTATAAGCCATATCTCTAAAATTATTTAATCTTTATTGCCAAAGAAAATAAATCCATTATATACAATAATAATTATTTCTGGATTTTATAAAATTTAATGTATTTCTATTAATTATAAATTTTCATCTCATTATAATTCCCCATTTATATTTGAATTTATATAAGAAAATTTGAATTAATTAAATATACAATAATATCTTATGCAAACTACATTAGAAATAGAAAAAAAACTTTGTTAAGTTCATAAATTAGAAATAGTGGCAGTTGATTTGAAATCATAAACTAGAATAGACGATAAATATTTATGCACTAGGTGTCTGGCTGAGAGGGTTGATAAAGAAAACATGGCATTGCTAAATGAAGCTACTGAAATGATATAAAGCATGAAAACCCAATCTTTAAAAATTGCAAAGGAAGAAAATGTACTTAGATTAACTAATTTAAAATAATTATAATCATCCATTAAATCCTTTAAAAACTAAATCAAGACGGAATTAGGAAAATTGCTTCAATTAGTTGATCAATAAATGGAATAGATCCAAACTGAAATTGAATCAAAGGATTCAAAGTTAGAAATCAAAAATTATGATGAGGAAATTCAAATTCTATCAAAAAATTATATAGGAAATTTTAGTTATAATATACCGAAATAACAAACCTATAAGGAAAAAGATGTGGCCCTTGTTTAATTAATTTATGAATCATTATAATCTTAGTCAAAATCATAAAATTTTATATAAATTATGGAATCCATAGATTAAATAAGATCAAGTATACCAATCACTTAATAGGCCAAAATAAACGAAACGCCTGCAAAAGAATTTGATTAACATGTAATTAATTTATTGATATTATTAGAAAACTCCATGTCTCAATTAGATATGCAATAAGCATAACAAAGAAATAATTATGTTAAATGTTAATTATAATGAGCCTAAATTCGGTCGATTGGCATGCGTAGAATGTATTCAAGAAAACCCTATTCAATATATTAGCTTAAAAGAAGCAAATAATATGTGGAATACTCTTATTGGAGAATCAGAAGATTTAATTTCTAAACATAATTTTAAAAGAGAAAAAACATTTAAAATGGTTATATAAGAAATCAAATAACTAAAAAACCATTATAATAATTAATTATCAGAAATGTTGTCATCTATAGATGAATAGCTTATTTAAAATAATTAAGAATTTTAAGATTTCCTAAAATTAGAGAATAAATAGATATTTGAATTAGATGAAAAATAAGTTGAAAAGATGATTGATTTATTAAGTTAATAAGATAAAAATAAACATATCCTTTAGTAATAGGAGAAACAAGATAGACTTGATTAATTATTTTATCAGAATGTCAAATCAAAATTAGAAACCCTTATCAAGCATGATTTACTTTGCAAGTAATAATTGATGACAATTATTTAAGAATAACAAGGTAATCTGTTTTGATTAACTTATAGAAAAAAAAGAAATCGGAAATAATCCATAAGCTGATGTTAAAATTACCCCTGAAATACACGAGTTTATATCGAAATGTTAATTGTAAGAGTAATATTTATAAATACATTCTGAATCAGTTGAATTTCAAATAGAATTATAGAAAGAAGTATAATAGCTTGAGTAAAAGGGTTAACTAGAATAATTTATTGAATTAGAAGGAAAAAATGATACCGATAATGTTAAATATACTTTACTCTAATAATAATTTAAATAATATGAAATAAATTCAGAAAAAATGAGGAAATTGATAAA